TGGGAGTTGAAGTCCACTCAGCTTAAAGTGGTCAAGTTTGGACAACACTGACATAAAGGAAATGAAAATGAATGGGAAGTTCTGTAAAAAGTGAAACAGCACTGAAATTAGTTGGAATTATTTCTGGCTAAAAGTCTTAAAATCGTTCCTTTTAGAGGCTCTTTGTACCCGCCTTACTGCTGCTGCCTTCTGCATTTCGTCACTCTCTCCCTAGCACGCTGGCCTCACAAACTGATAACAAATTATGGGACAGATTTCAGGGTTTCTTTCAGATACAAACCAGTTTTTTGCTCCACGTCTAACCGCTAAACTCAGCCCTCTCTCCTCCATGTTACCGATGGCCAGGCTTAAAATTGTGGCAAGCTTTAACTCTTACCCACCTTGTAAGGAAAGGGGCCTTCCAGGAATGGAATTAGCCACTTACGACGGCATGGCGCTGGGTTTCTGGCAAGGCTCCGGAAGCCGCAGTTCCAAGAACTAAGATGTCAAAGCAAAGGAAAAGGAGGATAATGAGAATAATTCTGGAGTCGAAACCGAAGCTGGGTTTACACACTGGAGTTCATTGGTTCGGCTTGGGTTGAGCATGATGCAGTCTGTGAACCATGGTTCACAGCTCAGCAGGGGTGTCCCAGGGGTATGGTCAAAAGAGTCAAGATGGCCTATTTCCTGCCACTCAACCAGAAGGGGAAAGTCCCGGAATCCTTGTCAGTTTCACCTGATTACCCAAAAAAGGGAGGTCCCTCCTTTTCCTGCTCCACGTGGTTGGAGGGGGGGGGACCATGCTGCAACGCCCGAGGGTGGGGGGCTTTGCCTCCAGTTAAATGGAACCAGACATCTGATCTGGGGCAGGAAGGGTCCTGGGGAGGTTGCCTCGGCCCAGGGTGGCAGCCACCTTCTTGACCCCTCCCCCCGCCTTCCTGGTGGGGGGCGGGGCGTGGAGAGACAGGAAGGGTCCCCGCGGTGCCGGGGCTCCGCCGGCTGGAAGGTGGCGCAGGCCGCTGGG